TAGCTGTAAGGCTTATTTCATTTGCAGAGAAATGTTATAAACTCCATGAAGAACAAATGGTCAGGGCAGATCTCATTTCTCGAAGTAAGAAGGAGCCTCAGAAAGTTAAGGCTAGAGAAGCAGAATACCAACTGAAGAGTTCCTGGCTGCCAGGTGAGTAGCTTCCAAGAACCTCAGAGCTGTTGGCAAAGTCCTACATTTTCCATTCTAGGTGAGTCCAACCATGACCTTCTAAAAGCCCTTCAAGACAAAGTGCTAGGCTTGGACCTAGGTGTCCTCTGGGTCTCTATAAGCTGGCCTCACTTTCTCCCTTGTCTTAACTGCCTATCAACACATTCCACATTCTGACTGTTATAAACTATCCAGGTTCTCTTGTGGTAAGCTATTATAAAAACTGAATCTATGTACCTTGCAACACGTGAACCATCCCTGGTTTAACACTCCCCAATAGAGGCGATTGGCCATTTCCAGGACTAAGATGTCTCTCTGCCAAATGGACACTTCATCCATCATTAACTCAGACTTGTTTGTCTTGTTTGCGTTGATCCTCTACTGAGTTGTGCCAAGAGCAGTGCCCAAAACTGCTCCAGTGCCGGGGCCAAAGGTCCCCAGGCACACGACGCTACAGTCTCTCAAGTCCAAGAACATCTTAGTAGCCGGGAGTCGGCTGAGGTAGTTCTTCTGGAAGGTGTCTCTCACTGTCCACTCAACTATGTCGTCTCGCAATCAGGTAGCTCTGGTGACCGGGGGTAACAGGGGCATCGGCTTCGCCATCACGCGTGACCTGTGTCGGAAGTTCTCGGGGGACGTGGTGCTCACGGCGCGGGACGAGGCACGGGGCCAGGCGGCGGTTCAGCAGCTGCAGGCGGAGGGCCTGAGCCCGCGCTTCCACCAGCTGGACATCGATGACCCGCAGAGCATCCGCGCCCTGCGCGACTTTCTGCTTGAGGAGTACGGGGGACTGGACGTGCTGGTCAACAACGCAGGCATTAGCACCTGGCCCAAGAATAAGCCACCAAGAAGAGATGACTTCTTCAAGGACACCCAGCAAGGTCTGTCTGCTCTTGGCCTGGCAGTGCAG